AGTTTAAAAATAATTGATAAGCGTATACATTGACTTTATTTATAGAAACGATAAGCATGTTTAGATAATGTTAAAACATGGAAAAACTTTGGCAAGTGTGATCAGACGGTCACAGTTGAGTAAAAATTTGATATTCATCAAAATCAGAAAATTTTCGGTAGCTGTGACCCACACTTAAATAAAATTTGACACAGTAAATTTCATTGGCTCACTTTTAAAACCTTAGCTTTTACATAATCAATATCATCCACACCCAGTCTCAAAATAGTTGACGCAGAAAAAAACTTAATACAATATATCTTTTCTTCTCCTCCAACCCCATCAAAGAGTTTAAAGATTTTTATTGCCCTTTCCTTCTTTTTCTAAGATTAGCTTCTGAAACTTTGTCTTGGTCTGGAAAGTGCTCCTGAATTTTATCATTAATTAGAGAATTGGACGTATCCTTACTATATATTTTTTTATAATGGTCAAACCATAACCTATACCCTTTTCCAAAATAATAATATGCATGAATCACTTCTAGAATAGTTTTTTTATTACCATTTTCGGCATTGATGATCTTATTATCTAGTTCACAAAAATTAACCAAGCTAATATCCATATTGGGGAATGTCTGTAGAGAAATAATACTACCAAAAGAGCTTTGCTGTGGAATTGGAGCAGACAATTCCTTGATAAGCTTTTTCAAAATAGGTGAATCTTCTCTTTTAACTGCTTTCTTTGCCTTCTTCTTGGGTAAAGATGAGTTGATGTCCGTACCTTCATTGGAACGTTTTTTACTGCTGGTATCAGGTTGTTCTTCACCATCAACACTCATTTCTTCTTCCTCTTCCAGTTCTATATTAGTTGATGGACATATAGAACATAGTTTTTGTGGATTATCAATACAATTGTAATGGATGATATGTTTGCAGATTAAGTATATAAGTGGTTTCAAGAGGCCTTGAAGTTGGGAAGAGAACTGAAGAAAGCCTATAGATAGGAGACATGAAGAAAGATCTTCAGAACATTTGGCACATCTCAAATTACTTTTGACTTGTTGGATTGCTGTATCCTCAATCCCTTCTATCCGTATAGGTGGTATCCATATAGGTGGTGAAGATAGGACAAATGTTTCGCCTATCAAAGGTGAAATTCCAGTTGATTGGAAGGCCTCCTTGGGATTAGTTAACGGCAAATTGGAAACAGTGCCAAGGGGATTGGCTTGATCTAATATTTCCACATTCTTTCCACAACCCAGGAATGGACATGTGTTTGGAACAGTAAGTAAAAGCTTTTTTTCAATACAGAGTCTATGAAAAAGGTGTTCGCATGCTAGATATATGAATGCTTTGAGAGGAGATATTAAAATATCATTGTCACATTCGGAGCATGGCCCTAGTTCTGTAATTTTTTTACCCTTAATAATGCCATCCTTGAAGGTTTTAAGAATATTATATGCGAGATTTTTGATGTTATTAATAGAAGCAGTTGATGTGGAAGTAGAGGTAGATATATTTAAGAGTAAAATTTATATGATTAGATTTGTATGCGTTAATATAAAGTATAACCAAATAAGTATTTCACAATTTTTTTTTATACTTAGCTCATTTTTATATATTAAACACCCTCATAATTAAAAAAATTAGTTTGCAGATTTTATGAAATCTTATTTCGAATTTGGCAATTTGTTCATTCACGAATTATTTAGTATGGGCCAGGATCGCTTAATCTTCGCTAGCAATCGTGGATAAATAATTTAGCTTAAGGATAGACCTAAAGAGTCATTGCTCTGCAATATGTGCGGTTAGTGAGTTGGTTAGTACCGAAATACTTCTATGCTGATCTCCGATTTATGGATTTAAAACACATGACATTGCTCCACTGAGGCTCATTATAACGTCATGTGATTTCGAAGTTATGATGTGGTTATAATTATTTTCAGATTGAATTTGCTGTATTTACTTAATTTATATATTTTTGCGTATTAATTATATTACCATATTATAACAATCATGACGAGTAATACTAATAATAATACTGATCCAAGTGAAAAATTTCCTCAATTATATGAGGTGCTTTTATATAAGAAAAAAGATATAACAGCTATTCAGAAAAAACTTGGTATTAACAATAATATAAATCAAATGGCAGTGTCGGAGAGTAAGAAAGTGAAAGAACTTGCCAATTCATATGAATTGCTGTTAGAATTGGTGAGAGATTTAATACTTATACAGATGAAACTTGGTATAGATATCAATCTCATTTTAGAAGCAGAACTTAGAAGGAATAAAGCCTCTTCAGATAAACCAATTAGATTATTTGATTTGCTTTTATGCTTAGAAAACGATATAGCGACAATTCAGGAAGAACTTGGTATTGTTGGTTATACTAATCAAGAAATGGCAGAAGAAGCTGATAAAAATGCGAGAGTGTATCTCCGAAAGCTTGAACAATTTTATGGTCCCTTAGAAAATGTTCCAAGTGTGTTAATACAGAAATTTATTGATAGTGGGATAAAGAAATTTTGGTTTACTGGTGAGGGACTACCATTATTTCCGAATGTCTCTCTTCAACAATTGCATGAGATTTTTGTCAAAAAATCGGCTAGTAACAATCAGTGCCCATGTCTGAATCAAAAGTAAAACAAGGAAAATTATCACAGATATATATACATCACAACAAATAAAAATTCTTTGTTTGAAATTAGCTAGAGGCTGTCAAATACCCGATTACCTGCTCTATTCTATAGCCAGAATAACGCGCTTTCTGCGATATTATTTAATGATATATATTATAACCGAAAAAATAACTCGGTAAATAATTACCCATTCTCCACTACTAAATAAAATTATTTGTAATCCACGATGTGCATTTCCAGATATTCTAGCATCAACGAGAATGAAATACATACACAAGTTTTCGAAGCAAAGAAGCGTGATTAGTTAACATTATCATAGAGTCGGAATGGTCTCGCTTCTTCAGGTAGTTGATTCTTTCTCCGATAATTGACAATAACGTAATTTTGTGCTGGTGAGGTGTTATTGTCAGGATTGTGACGTAAGGCTTCTCTGGTGATTGTCATAGCATGAGCTAAATTCTTTGCCCCATGTACCACTACAGCATATACAGCCTCTATTTTATGTAAATGGCGAGGAATTAAATTATAGTCTTTTAAGAATCTATTGAACCATTTTGCTCCTAGCTTACCTGGGTTGCCCATTCGACGAGAAGAAATAGCATTCTGAATCCAGGTAAGCAATTCCTTAGCTCGTTCTTGATTCTTCTCCAAAGATCTTAATTTTTAAGGAGTATCTATCTGACTTCGGTTCTTTGCATAGCCTATCACTCCAGCATCTGTAATGCGTAAAGATGTAAGTTCAGCGGGGCGTATACAAAGCATTATCATAACATCTGCAAGAGCTTGTAAATCGGGCAGGGAGAAATATTATACTTATCTAATCTTTCCTTAACTGATTCTAATGTAAAGTGGTCTGGATAATCAATTCTCTCAAATATCTCAACAAATTTACATCGATCTCTCTGAATTTCATTGGTATCTTTTGTAATATCAGGAAATTTCGTAGCTTTGATTATTTGGAATGAAGTGCCAAGATTTTTTAGTTCTCTATGAAGATGAGTGAGACGTGATGAGCTAGCATTGGCATTTTTTGCTGATAGGGCTAAGGCATAAGCTTCAGCTCTTACATCTCTAATGCTAAGTTTATTCTGTAAAAGCCGATGCGCCATCTCTCCGATTGTTTTTTCCTCCATTCTTTTTTGAGGTTTGTTGAAAATCACAATATTTAAGGTTTTACCAGAAGTACTTCCACATTGTCCATTTGTCTAGATTGTGAATAAGGTATTTACTTGATCCTCACTAAACCCATATCTATTTTGCAAGATTCATTTTGCTTTCTCTCTGATAATCTCTTCTTCTAGATTTTTGGGGGTGATGCTAGAACTATTCTACAATTACCTTCGACAATATTTATAGTTTTATTTTTTCCACTCCTCTGATTAGGTATCAATATACCTACCTGCTCATTGCTAAATTTAAAACCATCCCGAAGGCATCTGCGAGCCTGATTCTGCTTCTTATCATCGGTAAGGTTTTCAAGAAATTCTGAGGTATATTGACTGAGATCAGATATACCCATCATAGAGCTAAGATTGTATTTTTCAATGATTTTAGTTGTAATGGCTGACATGATTGAATGTTATAATAAATTGGGTAGATTATGAGCAGTTCTTTAGGTTATATACACTATAAAAAATATTTTTTAAAATTGAAATTAATTACGCTTTTTTCTCCTATACCTAGAAAAAAAGAGTTTATATATATCTATAGGATTACCAGATGTTGAGCTATATAATTATACTTCATGTATAGAATCAAGTAAGTCAGGTATATGATTCTCAAGCATAACAATTTTTGCATGTAATTTGGCCTGTTTTTTTTGATGATAATATTCTCTTTTTCGATATTTACTCACATGATTCGAGTATACACCATATGTAGAATATGTTAATTTACTGCATTCTTTGCAAGGAATCTAAGTTGGCGAATTCCAATGAAGTTTACACCCTTCTGGATGATAGCAACCTCGATTGCAAACTTTGCCAGTTCTAAGAATATAAGGGCAATGATAGAGTCTCATATTTATTATAATAATAATTGTATAGAATAATTAATTTCATTTTAAAGTTTCTTGGATTAAGTATAATACTTTTAGTTTATAACTATACACTACATATACAAACAATGCATATATACAAATCAATAAAATGAGTTTGTCTAGCGAAGCAAAAAAATGTCTTCGTGAATCATTACAGCAACAGTGCTTAAATCAAAAGTCAGCCGAATATAATAAAGCAAAACAGCTTTTTATGGGTTTAACAGATCTTGATTATAAACCTGGCCATAGAGAACATATATTTTATAAATACTAGCTTGCATCCAATGGCCATACCAGCTCTTCTAATAGAAATGATACTGCGCTTTTAGATGCATATCAACCCGAAGAGATTTATTCTCAATATATAATTCAGATGGCAGGAAAGGTTATACAGTAATTGATCATCCCTCTGAAGTTTATAGAATACCTGATACCCACGAATATATCAATGGAAACTAGCCCCTACACTTAATTATTAATATTGATGCAAGACAAAAACCTAATCCAAATAATCCTAAACATTCTTCTTTAGATAGTGAAAAAATTAACCGAGAAGATTTGATATCTCGAATTTTAGTTGCTTGTGCAGATGTATTAAGCCTTATTCTCAATTATATACCTTTCTTAAATTCTTTTACCTTAGCTAGTTCATCAAATGCTGAGAAATGTAGCTGGCATATCATTTATTCTCAGGTTCAATTCATAGATTATAGAGAACTTAAGAGATTTACAAAAAAAGTTATGGAATTAGTTGGGAAACCTTATTTGAAATTTATTGACATTAGCCTTCCCAAAACACATTTCAATCTTTGGCTTCTAGAATCAGCAAAGGAAGGTCGTATAAAAAGACCTGCTATCTCTTCTGTAAAAAATAGATTTAAAATTCTAGATGATTATATGGTTCAGTCTAAAAAGAATTATTCTGTGATTTGGCCACGAACTTTTTCTTCAGAGGAGTCAGTAAAACAAGAATTTCAGCCCATTGATGATGAAAATGCTTTGGTTAATAGAGCTAACTTAGCTATTGCAAAATATAGGTGGCTCCAGATTGGAAGAATTGAGAAAGGGTTTATTAACTTTCAATCACAATCCGTATTATATAATAATGAGCTCTGCTCTAAAGAATGCCCTATATGTGACGTTAAACATGATAAGGATCAACTCTATGGATTTATTCAAAAAAATGGACATTTTGTACTTAAGTGTTATCGCCAAAAACAATACAAGCCAGAGCACTAGGGCATTAGCTTCGATAAGGTATCAGACAAAGTTGAGTCGAAAAAAAAGTTCAAGAAGTGAAGATTATGTGAAAGACTACCCAAAGCTGTAAAACATCCACACCTACTCGCAGAATTATCTAGAAAAAATATCAATATCAGCGAAATGGAAGATGCTCCAGAAGCTTATCCCGATTTCTTGAGTGAGGAACCCACTATATCTCTTATCTGATCACCTGTAATGACAGGAAAAACAAAAGCTTTAAAAATTATTCTCAATTCCTTAGCCAAAGAAGGGAGCAGACTGCCGTGTTTTGTTTGGGTTTCATATCGTAAGACTCTCAGTAATGAGACTAAAGCTAAAGTTGATATACTACAAAATGCAGGATTGCGTGTATGTAATTATCAAGAAGTTGAAGGAGATTTAGCTATATGTAATTAGGATGTTATTATTGTTCAGGCTAAGAGTACACACCGTCTTTCCCTTTTTGGAGGTGGTTCTTATATAGTTATTTTAGATGAAGTAAATGCTATTATGCGTCAAATGAATGGTGAAGTTCATGCCCAAGAATCTGAAAATGCTATACGGGATTTGTTGAAGTCAGCTGTACATGTTCTAGCTATGGATGCTTTTGCAAATAAATCTACTTTAAACTTCTTAAGACAATATCGAGGTGAAGATATACGAGTTTTTAATAATAAGTATCAGCCACATAAAGGTAAGTCTGTAAAAATTTTTTATGACCCCGATAAAGGATTAGAAGCTATACGTAAAGGTCTTAAGTTGCTTCAAGAAGGTAAGCATGTTGCCTTTTCAGTTACCTCATGTAAAAAAGCTAGAGCTATAGCTATTTAGGCTTCTAAGTTATTAAAACCAGAGGGTTCACATGTTTTATCACAGGTTTATTTTGGTCAAATGGATGGGAAACAACATCAAAAAGACTTTGCTAATATTAATGCTACTTGGAGTGGTCTTGATTGTGTAGTTTATACAAGTACTGTAAAAGCTGGTATTTTCTTTGAAATTTCTAATCATTTTGATTCAGTTATAGGAATAAGCAATATTAATATAGGAGTACATGCTGAAGCTTTTGCACAAATGTTTTATCGAGTGCGTGATTGTCCATATTATATTATTTCTCTTTATAATAGTAAAAAAAATAGTATTTTCAAAGAACCAAATCGTGATCTCATTCATGCTGAACTTTCTGCCTTGAGACCTGGAGATTTACCAACAGCAATTAAAGGCTATCGTGAATAGAATAAAATTTCTGATTGTTATATTGTTGACTAATCACCAGCAGTCGAAACTTATATTGAGGTTGAATATCAAAAACACTTATCTGCCAAATATTTTCCTGAGATTCTTTGCAGTCTCATTGCTAGTACTGGTGCAACACTTGAGTTAATTTTAGCAGAAGATACTGAAAAAGTTAAGAGGAATGTAATTTCTCATACTATTAAGAATACTGAGAAAAAAATTAAAGGTGAGAATGCAGAATTAATAGCAAATGCACCTGATATTACTCCTGATGAAGCTGAAATTCTTAAGCAAAATCCTATATGCTTTCATTGATAATATTGCTCTACAATGCCATTATTTATAGAAAACATATGCTTCAGGCGATATTGGTGACAAAAATGATATTTGAAACTGGGGTATGAATAACAATGATTGGGTTAAGCTTTGTGATATAGATTTCGTGAAAAGATATAATAATCCTGAACCTTTAAAACATTTTAGGAGGCTGGCATATTTCAGAAGGCAAGGTTCTAATGCAATAAATTCTATAGAAAATCTAAAAATCAAAGAAGAAATGCAATGGGAAGATTCACATGAATCTATAGATCCGTCCTCAGTTGATTTGCATAAATTTTATTTAGCTAAGCAGTGGGAAGCGGTATATAATCTTGTCCAATCGATAGGCTTCAGTGATATAGATGACACAAATATTCTTTCTGGTGATGATGTGGCTAAACTTTTGAGCAATTACAGGAAAAAATTGATAAAATTCAGGAAGATGCATTATTACTTTTTGGTTTTAAGACCAGAGCTAAAGAATTGCCTGATCTCAAGGCTACAATAAAATTGATTAATGCAATAGTAGAAAATTGGTGTGGTTATACTATTAAGAGTGGTGCAACTCATGTAGGTTCCAAGAGACATCAAGTATGGAAACACACTTATTGTATTAATCGTAGACCATATGGTGGAGCTGGTTTCAAAAATCAAAAAGAAGTAATGGCTACAAAGTTACGTATTCCTAATTATTATTCTATAGCTCCAATTATTTCATCATATAAGTTGGAATCGATTGATGAAATCCAAGAACTTTTCAATTCAATACCCATTACCACTGATATCACCGTTTCAGAAGAAGCAAAACTTCGATACTCTGAATCATCAAGTAATGAGATTTGTGAAAAGAGTTCTTGTAATAGTATTGTTGAGAAACCTGTAATAAATTTGTCACAATTGCCTTCTTTGGTATCAACTCAAAATCAATTAAATAATTCTGAACAATCCTTAGACATGATATACCCGCCTCCAGCAATTTTTCTATCTTCAGAATTTCTCATTAAAAACGAATTTGATATAGATATACTTATCCTTCTTTTACAGCAAAAATTCCAAATGTCGAAAGAAAAATTGGAGCAATGGCGAACCAAGATTGCCTTTGAAATGCAGAATAACCATAATTATTGGAAAAAAGAGCACGAGAGTATAAACGAGATCGCTTTCCTGGAATACAAGTGAAATTTTGAGGCTAAAATGAAAGTTCCTACTACTCTGCACAAAAAAGAACTGAAAAGTAAATCTTTGGCTCTTATAGAATATATATAATCTAGCTAAATAGCAATTTCCAGAGCAGAGAGATTGTTATATTCAACTAGTTGTACATTTTAGGTAAGGGGTTTTTTGTCGTCTCTTACAATAAGTATACA